CGGGGCTGAGCAGGGGTGGGGGGTCTCTCCCCAGAGCCTGGCACCCACCCGCTAAGGGCCGCAGCACCCACGCCCCGGTGATTCCCATCTCTTACCGCCTCCATCCGCGGTTGCCCTCCCCGGGGACTCGCTGTCCGGGTGTCCCGCTGACCTTAAGACGTGGGAAGGAGCTGTGTTATGTAGCACACCTGACACGTCCTGACACCACGGCTCGAGCCGTGCCGGGCAGGAGAAGCCAAGCCTCAAGTGATAATTTCCCCATAAAAGACCACGTGGGACTCCATAACGCTGCGTCGGCTCCTCTCCACGCACAAGCACATGGGTACTCTTCTAGAAGGCGTCAGACCAGAGACCTCTTTCGAACGGTGTGTCTTAGACTCCTTACCTACCTGTCTTCCCCAGCCGGCCTGCCACAACTACGGCGTGCCTGGATGTCCAAGGAACTACAATCCAGTTTGTGGGACGGATGGAAAGACCTACTCCAACGAGTGTGTGCTCTGCCTTTCCAACAGGTACTCGCTTCATTGACATCCCAACCCGCCCTTCCCCACACGCAAGCAAAATATTCACCCTGTGATCCCAGCTAACCGATGGATTATCAGCTTGGGATCATTCACCCTCTGTTAAACTGCAGCTTTCGCAGCATCCTCGCAACAGCTTTTATGGTGATCCCTGTAAATGGCTTAGATTGGATGCAGCTGGGAGCACTGAAGGTTCGCTTTTGTAATTCTTAAAGGAGGAGCCTCTTAGAGGGGGGTTGCCCATAGTGTTCATACAGTGCCACATTACCATTAAATATAATGCTGGACTCTTCCACACTCTCCATCAGCAAAAGTGAAAGATCCCACCCCAAATGAGCTTTTGCTACAAAATGTTTACATTCAAGATCAGATCTCCCGAACTTTCTTTCACAGAGAAGAGTAAGAATGCGAAATGTTAGGAGAAAACACTATTTTGCTATTCAGATTGTCTAAAAATCAAGAAAAACATTGCCTGATATTTGAGAGAGGCTATTTTATTCTTTAATAATTCAATCATTTTTTAAAACAAAATAAGCATTGCTACCCTCCATTACGATTGACTGGAAACCTCTATAGAGCATCCTGTCACTGCAGAGAGGAACTGCTTGTGAATTGAATTTGATGGTGAAAGGCAATTTATATTAATGAAATAACAGAATTTCTGTTTCCAGCAGAGAGAAGAAGTGAGAGTAGCAAAACAGCAGTGATGGGCATTTACAAAATTACAAATAGATAGATCTCAAGAAAGGGAAGGCTGGAATATGTTTCTGACTTTGGGGCAGGGGAAAGATTAACTGTGACCAGATAATTCACAAAATTCAAATTACCAAGATAGGGGGAACATAGGCCAGAATAAGGAAAGTGTCAAAGGACACTTAAGGAAATAATATTTTAAAGATGGTGCCAAAGTGTGCCAAAGTATGTTTAAAGGTATGCAGGTCTGCAGAATTTGGTAACATTTGCACCAGAGTACAGCACAAACTACCCAAGCAAATGACAAGTTGCAAAGAGAATTGGTAAACCTACAGTTTGGGGAAAAACAAAAACCAAAACCAAAACCAAACCAAAACAAAAACCAACCAACCAAACAAAAAAAAAACAACCGGGGAATCAAAGGGGCCACACAGCACAATCTGTGAAAAGGGGAGAAAAGAGAGGCTGGCATGTTGTATATTAGGAGCCTACCCATCTTTGCTGCCTAGAACGATGTTGGAGTAAGTTATTAAGCAATTGACTTCTGGACAGCCAGGGGTAAAAAAGAGAGTGAGCAAAGCTGATACAGATTTGTCAGAAATAATCCAATCAAATCCATGAGGTTTAGTTTTTTGGCAAGCTAACTGGCCTAGCTGGGTAGGAGGAAACAGAAGTGTTGCTCTGTGACATTAATAAGGCATTTTACATGGCTCCACTTGACATTCACATAAGCAGACAAATAGTTATTCAGCTGAAATTGTTAAAGGATGAAGTCCCAGCAGTTTGAAATGCTGTGGTTTAAAAGCAGTAATCAGCATTTTACAGTCAAACCGTCAAAGTGAGTTTCCCTTTAGGTGTAGTATATAATTCAGTATTTCTGTAATGAATTGGATATTGGAAACTAGACAATAAAAATTACAAAATGGCATGAGATGCAATGATCTGTGCAGGACAGTATCAAAATTCCCAGGGATCTGGAGAAATGGACTGAAATCAGTACAGTAAAAGTCAACAAGAAGTGCCAAGTATCACACATGGAGAGTGCAAATCCATGGTTTTTTCTTTAATAACTCAGTAGTTGTCATGCTCAGGGGTTTTCTAGTTCAGCCTGGAGTTGTTGGTCTGCAGTGTTTGACTTGGCATGAACACAACAAGGATAAAACCCTTTGTCTTACTGGAAGAATTTTAGCTTTGAAAAATGGCTCATGGTCATAAGCGATGGCCATTTCACTTCCAGGAGTGTACGGTACAGCCCGTCACACTCCTTCGGAGGGGAGAACAAGCAGATATTTCTGCCCTTCTTAGCAAGCTGCGTGACCAGTAGTAGCTGAGATAAATGGTGTGATGGGGTGATGCAGAAACAGATACATGGGCATGTCCCATAGTGAATTACGAAACAGTTCTAAATTAACTTGGGTGATTCTCAACAGCCAACGTGCAGGTCACTTCCAGCCTGTGTTTTAGCCCATTAAAGGGCTTTTTAAAGGGAGCTGTGCTTCCCTGATGGCCAAGGCAGTACCATCCATGGGCTCTTTTAGCCGTGCAAAAGACTACGTGGGCACGGTGAGCCCCACGTGCACCAAGGGCATCCAGGAGAGGTTGCTGTGGCTGATCCGTGATAACACGAGACACCCGGAGCAAAGATGCAGCACAAACCCTGCCCATCCTGGTTCTGCAGTGCAGCCCGGTAACCGTCAGACCAAAGCTGGTCTGCCTCCCTGCCCTTTTTTTTTTTAAAAAAGCTTAGGTCTAATCCATTCTTAAGTGGGTGCTCGAACGCAAGTCCCAGGTCTGTTCCACACTCAATGTCCGGTAGCAGTGACAAGAGCTGATCTTAATTTAAACCTAGTCTGGCAGCACCAGAAGCACAGAGCTTGTGCAGGGCTTAGCGTAAGGGCTATCCTTCAGCCAGAAGTTTTCCTTACATCCTTACATGTGTTTTACATCCCCTGGGCTTGATTTTTATTTTCATATTCCTAATCTGCCCCACTACATTCTGGTTAAAAGATCCCTGATACAGCTATTAGCACAGATTATCCCTGCTTTTGGGTAATCATAAGCCTCTTGAATTTCACGAGGAGTAAACCAGCTCGATTGTATTAAGAGGGGAAGTGAACTGAAGATCTAGAGCAGTTTGTTTGCATTCTATCTTTTTGTATCTGCACTTGCTTGGTAAACTGAGATTTGGAAATGGAGTGCCGCAAAGTACGGGACTTCCAAAAAAAAAATCTAATGTTCCCAAACTAAGGAAGACTTGGCTAAAATTTCCTTAAAGAAGATTCCAACGTTCAGAGAGCCACACATTCAAATTTTAGTGAAGCCTGGGATGCAGAGATGCATCAGGATGCACGCCCTTCCCCCTGAATTCCCACGTGAAAGGGGGAAATTTTGTAAGCATCGGAACTGGTTCCCACTTCAGGGACGGTGAAGTTTGACTGGCATTAGTGCTGTGTCATGGGGACGTTAGTCCTCGTGGCGAGCTCTGGCATGTGGTTTGATACTGCTCAGATTTGCAGGTGGCTTTATCAGGTTTTTGTAGGGAGCAAAGCCTGAAGTGAGGCTGTCTCTGGTAAGTCACTCGCTCTCTGCGTGTCATTCATAAATCTTTGCATCACAGTTACTTTGCGGTAACGTTTGCCATGGTCCAATTAAATGCATCGCTGCATTTAATTGAACACATAGAAAGACAAGGGAGGGTCCGCTTTATAAAATGTCTCTCTTAAATTCAAGTGTAGTGCTTCTCTCCTAAAATGTTTTTCTTCTGCTTGCAGTGAAAATAACAAGGATGTCCAAATTTTCAAGATGGGAAGATGCTGATGTGGCAGATGGCCACTTTTCAAGAAAAGGAGAGGACCACAGATGGTCCAAATGGAAACGATGCCTTAAATGTACCTTCTATGTTGCCTGTCTTAATAAATAAGCTTGCCTGTTTAAGCAAAGTACTGGTACTGCATTAAAACTGGTGTTTATAAACACAGCCACTACCCTTACGGAGGGATTGTACTAGCTGAACGGCACGATTGTGAAACAAGATATGAAAGGAGCTCTTTTCTGCCTGAGCTCAGACGGTCGGATAATATTTTGTTTGATTAGGATTTTATGATATTTTCTAGCTTCCCAGGATCAGCACAGTCCTGATCTGACTGGGAGGAGAATGTGCAGCCATCCGTCTAGGTCAAATTAAGGTCAGAAGATGTCTCACTGGCTTTTGCTAGAGTAGATTTTGTTGCTAATGGAGTGGTTTTGTTCCTGGTTGAGCTACAACTTTATTAAATTCCCCAACTCTCCCTCCTATGGAAATACTAAAAAAAAATTTGTCCAGGAAACCTACATAAACAAAATGTTCGCTGTACTCCACACACTGCTGCCCAGCAGATGCTGCAGGTGTGTTTGCTGGGCTCCAGCTCCCAGCGTGGCTGCGAGCAGTTTGGAAGTACTCAGCCCTTTGGCTTCAGGCACTCTTTGCAGGGGCTGTTGGTTTTCTCAAGCAGAAGCAGTAAGACGCTTTGGTTTGAACACGGGGGAAAGCCTCCCACTGCTCCTCCTGGAAAGCATCCCCATCCACCCAGAGAGACGGCAAGGAGCATCCTCCTCCAGCCTGGAGCCTCTCTGCCGGACACACGCTGGGCACAACGGACCCTCTGACAGCCTCCACAGCTGGAACCGGGGGGGAGCTGCCAGGAGCAGGGATGTCCCGCTGCGGGTGACCCGCTCCAGGGGCGGTGAGGCGGTCCGAGGGAGCCAGCCATGAGCACCTCTGGTGTGCTCACCCACCGCCCCCACGGCCAGCCGTGTAGAGAAGACTTGGCAGCTAGCACCCGGGTAGCTGCGACGCCTTCGTTGTTGCCTGTTTCTCAACAGCAGGAAAACCCAGGTTGCCAAAGGGAAAAACCTTTTTTAAGTTAATTGCACAAGGGCCCTGAAGCCACTCCCCGACACCCAGCAGCCGGAGCGGCAGGCGGGGGCCCCGGAGCGTCTCC